CAAAGTTTCACCTGTTGTGCCCTCCAGTTTTCTTCAGGTGTCTGTCTGAATAACCTTCAGGGAATTCTGAACCAATCTATTTAATCTAGAGGATTAGGTTGTTTTCATTCTGTTATCCATATCTAAAGATATCTCCTTTTTTTTTTTTTTTTTTTTTTTTTTTTTTTTTTTTTCTTTTTTTTTTTTTTACTCAGTTATTGCTAGTCTTGTTTCCACTGAGTCTAAATCTGTATTACCCAGCTCAAGGATTGAACCTGATTACTATGTCGTCAAATTCATGAACCAATACTTTAATTCACTAGGCCATTATCTATAGAAACCTAAGGAAGACTGAAGAGCACAATGGCCAAAACATTTTGATAACAACAAAAATGAGACTAACAGTGTGAATGTAAATAAATAACTCCTTGAAATTCAATGAAGAATCAGCAATATTATCAGTCCTGGTTTTCTCATCTCAACTTCAATCACTTTTGCACTCTCATAATGTATCTTCTCTGTGCCTTTTCTATAAATATTTTCATGGTAATTGTTCAGATGAACTCTTTACTATGGTACCTAGACTTTATGAATTTAAGTGCAATATTAGATTGGCGGCAAGGTCTCATCAATTCACAATTGAATTGGCTAGATGTAATTGTAAGTTCTATGTTAACAGTTTCTTTTCTCATACATTTCACTTGTAGAACTCTCTTCCAGCTCCATGCTTTCTAGCCAACTTTGACCTCCAATAATTTAAATGCAATGTCAATCATTATTTACTGTCTTCTATTATTCTTGCTCCTTAATAAATTTTCTCTTTTTTTTAAATTCTTGTATCTTAGTGGCTTTACTGCCTTTCTTGATTTAAAAAAAAAAAAAAAAATAAAACATTTTGGACAGAAATCATTGCTAATTTTTCATTATTTAACCTAAGCTTATTCAATATCAAACTTCTAATATGTAATATTGTTAATCATCTTTTTGTTTAAAATTTTAATTCTTGATTTATATGTAATTGTGATAAATTATAGTAATGACAGCTTTTTAATTTTTCATTAAAAAAAAATGACAAATGTCAGCCAGTTTTAAAAAAAAATTAAAGTTCTTAATATTTGCAGTAGATAATATTTAAAAATGGTTTTGCTTGAAGCTAAGGTTGGAGGTGGTCACAGTGTTTTTTTTTCTTCCAACTTTAAACACGTTGGCTTTATTAACAGATTGATTAAACTCACTGAACTGAATCAATTAAAGCCAGCCATATCTTTCCCATCATTAATTTAAATAATTAGCCAGACTAATGATCATTGCCCTTTGGAAATACTTTTGCCTCATTATTATCAACCTACAATGTCATGTCAATTTCATTAATTGTTAAATGAAGCCCAATTTTGCCCACAGTGCTTGTCAGTACTTTTTTTTTGTTAGTTGAAAATAAAGGGAATATTTCTATAATGGATTTTTTTAAAAGAAAAAAAAAGTTTGGGGTAACTTCTTGGTAAGAACTTGTAGTTATGATTAATGCAACCAAGCTTAAGATAGGCACAAGACATAGTCATAAAATGTAGGAGAGAGAATACAGCCTGTCTTTGAAATGACTTAAAACCTTAGGAAAAATACACAAAAGAGAAGTATAGAAAACAAAAGAAAATGAATAAAATAAATGATATATATACCCATGAGAAATATAGAGGACACCACCATAAATAACCATAAGAATTATCCCGAGACAAAAGAACTGGGAAGAGCCAGCTTCTTCCCTCCCCAATTTCCCTTAATCACTCAATAACCTTTATATATTATAGAACCTGTGAAGAGAATAGTGACACTTGGTCTGAAGATTGCACTGAGGCATGGAATTGACAGCTTGCAGTGGTGACCCCTGTGTTCACATTTTCTATATCTATAAATACTCTATAGCCAATATTAAGCACTCGTCTCTTGCATAAATATAGCAAATTTTAAACTAATAAATATATATATATATATATATATATATATATATATATATATTTCACAGTTAAATTTATATTTCTGACACAAACTCAGTCTAATCTGGTGTTGACAAGACAGATGACTGATATTTTCATTTGCCAAAATAGGAAATAACCCATATAAGGTGATTTTTGAATTTTATTTGTTTATATATATATATATATGTGTGTGTGTAATATATTAGTTCTTTCAACATTTTTCATTCAATGGGAGTAAACAGAAAAATGTAAGAATGCTAAAAAAAAAACTAAATAAAAAAAATTAATTAAATTTTTCTTGTCTGTCATATTTAATGAAAAATTATTCAGACTATTGTCCTCATTTTTGTTGCCATATTCATTACAACGTTTCGCTTGTTGTATGCTCCAGCCTTCTTCAGGTGGTTGGAATCTTGAACTGAACCCTTTATTTCGCTCACTGGGGTAGACTGTTTTAGTTCCATGTGCCATGTTTAATGGATGTCAATTATCAGTTATCTCCTGTTAATTCCCCTATCCAAGTTCTCCACTGCCTTAACCAGGTATTGAACTCACACTCTTTGGGTCCTGTCATTGGATCTAACTAACAGCACTAAAGGACATATGGCACAGTGGATAAAGGTGTTAGATCCAGTGACAGGACCCCAAAAATGTGAGTTCGATACCCAGTTAGAGAGGAGAACTCTTCTGTCCCTTTTAGTTTTTGCTTCCGTTTTTTTTTAGGGACAGCCTCTTGACCTTCCTGACCACCAGGTCATCCACACACGTGGAAACTGGTCATCTTGGGCACAGCCTAGCAAAAGAAAAAAGTAATTTCTATTCGCTTATCTGTGAACTATCAAAGGCCATATAGCTGGTAGGTTATTTTTTTCTCGTCCTGTAAACCTCCTTGTTCCTTTGGGACAATATGGACAATCATTTGTTTTGGGACATATGTAAATCTTTTTAATACATGTATGTAAGTTGTTTGCCTTATTAAATGTTTTGTTTGTTATGCTCACATATTTTGTCTTTCTATATTCACATTCAGTGTTAGTGTATCAATCGCTACACTAATGCTAATATTAGTATCGGTGTGCTACTGGAAGGCTAAAACACGTTATTCTTCCTAACACAAAATAGTTGGTAAACTCTGTGTGGCCGATAACCTGTACTAATAAGGGTAATTTTGGGTATTCTAGTTTTGGGGGGAGAGAGCTCTCAAGATAAGTTTTTACTCTCGGGTTATCAATGACATATTCACCTATGTGAAGGAATTTTGATTTTGGTTCGAGAGCCCTTATCTCTCAGTGTCAATCTTGTGCTCCTAAAAATCTTTGCCATTTGCAGGTAAAGCCTCTTATGGGGTTAGCTACTGCACAAAGTATCTTCTTGGGGGCAAGAGTTGTGTAGAGTTTAGGTATCGAATAAGTGCCTCATTGGTTCTCTTCAGCTGCACAAGACATCTTCTCTAAACCATGGATTTTCTGAATTTCTGAAATGTGGAATTCTCATTATTTACATGTAGACTCTTTTGTTTTGATCATTGTACCCCCCAGACTTCATAAGGTGCTTGTTGATCTAAGTAAACTTTGAGGAATTTCAAAATTAACTCTGAATAGCCTAGTGAATTTGGTACGATATAATAATTGAGTTCAGTCCCAGGCTGTGTGTACTTGGTAGAAACAAGGTGAGCAGTACCTGAATAAGAACTAGATGAAATATTCCTAGACATAGTGGAACAAGCACTATCTACTTCTGTAGATTAAAAGGTTTAGTTTGAAATTCCCTGAAGGTTATTCAAACTTACAAGCATCTGATGAAGGCCAGTGGGCATAATGGCTGAAACGCTGTAATAACAAAAAACAGGACAATATTAAATAATGTAAACATGAGACAAACTAATCAAAATTCTGAAGTATCAATTTGAATCAAAACTTGCAATATATAAGATTTATTTACCATTATATCATAAATACCCTAAAAAAAAAAAATATAATCCACATTGTCATGGTCATGTGACACTGCAGTGTCTCAAAATCTGAAAATGAATAATATTAATAAAAACAAAAGAAAAATATAATCACACACCCATGTCAACAGAACCAAAACTTCAACTCAAAACTCTGAATTCTACCAAAGATGAATATTATCACACAGACTGAATTTCACCAAATCTCTTCCTTGGTAATAATTGAAGACTATTAAAAGCTGAAGATCTTAACAAGAACTAATTGTGGACAGTTCTTTTCCATCTTTGGAAGAAAGACAAAAATTAATCTGCCAACAACAATAAAAAGGAAATTTATAAAAGAATCTAAGAGATATATATATTACATCTTTCTGGAATCTAATCAGCAAATCACTGCCAAAGTTTACTGCCAGCAACTGGATGAAATGCACATCCCGTTAGTCAAAGTGTGACTGGCACTGATTAATCAACAACGTTCAATCTCTTACCCACTGATTTCCACTTTTTCAAGCATCTTGACAATTTTTTTTTTTAAGTCAAAGACATTTCATTGCAAAGAAGATACAGAAACTGCATTCAAAGATTCCTTGGTATCCAACCCTTTACTGTCTTATCATAAATTGCCAAATAACCTTGTAACTTGATGGCATAAATGTCTAGGCATTCAGGGTTCCTATTTTGACTGATTTAAACACTGTTTAAATACATTAATTCAGGAATAAAAGTTGATTCTAAAATCAGACATTATTTTTTGAATAATATAGAGAGAATGATGCACTAAAAAATGTGTAGCTCTAAGACTGTAGATTTGGTTTTATTTAGCTTTCCTGATCAAATTGGTAAAATTGGCATCCATGTCAGAAACTCCAAGGATATGGAATTCAGAGTCTAAGTATGGAATTTATCACATTTAATATTTTTTTTTTTTTTTCTACATCCAAAACCTTTTAGTTTTTAGTGCCAAGATAATTTTTCAGGTACACAGTGGGATGAGGAGTCTGGGAAAAGAAGTTACATGTCCAAACGAAAATGAAAAAAAGCAAAAAATAAAGATTTAGAAAAAAAAAACAGTTGAATTTTCCAACATCCTTGTTCAGACACTCAACCCTGAAGATAGGTCTGATATTGGGTTCTCTCTCTCTCTCTCCCACCATTTCTTTTCATTTCCACTGTCTCACTTCTTTTCCATCCTCTCACTTTTCTCTCTCTTTTTTCTTTTCTCTTTTCTTTTCTCTCTCTCTTTTCGCTCTCTTTTCTCTCTCTCTCTTTTCGCTCTCTTTTCTCTCTCTCTCTTTTCGCTCTCTTTTCTCTCTCTCTCTTTTCGCTCTCTTTTCTCTCTCTCTCTTTTCGCTCTCTTTTCTCTCTCTCTCTTTTCGCTCTCTTTTCTCTCTCTCTCTTCTCTCTTTTCACTCTCTTTTTTTCTCTTTTCACTCTCTTTTTTTCTCTTTTCTCTCTTTCCTCTCTTTTCTCTCTCTTTCCTCTCTTTTCTCTCTCTTTTTTCTCTCTTTTTTTTTCTCTCTTTCTTCTCTCTTTTTTCTCTCTTTTTTCTCTCTCTTTTTTCTCTCTCTTTTTTTCTCTCTCTTTTTTCTCTCTTTTTTTTCTCTCTCTTTTTCTCTCTTTTTTTTCTCTCTCTTTTTTCTCTCTCTTTTTTTCTCTCTTTTTTTTCTCTCTTTTTTCTCTTTTTTTCTCTCTCTTTTTTTCTCTCTTTTTTTTCTCTCTTTTTTTCTCTCTTTTTTCTCTCTCTTTTTTCTCTCTCTTTTTTTTCTCTCTTTTTTCTCTCTTTTTTTTCTCTCTTTTTTTTCTCTCTCTTTTTTCTCTCTCTTTTTTCTCTCTCTTTTTTTTCTCTCTTTTTTCTCTCTCTTTTTCTCTCTCTTTTTTCTCTCTCTTTTTTCTCTCTCTTTTTTTCTCTCTCTTTTTTTTCTCTCTCTTTTTTCTCTCTCTTTTTTTCTCTCTCTTTTTTTCTCTCTCTTTTTTCTCTCTTTTTTTCTCTCTCTTTTTTCTCTCTTTTTTTCTCTCTCTTTTTTCTCTCTCTTTTTTCTCTCTTTTTTTTCTCTCTCTTTTCTTTTCTCTCTCTTTTTCTTTTCTCTCTCTTTTCTTTTCTCTCTCTTTTTTTTCTCTCTCTTTTTTCTTTTCTCTCTCTTTTCTTTTTCTCTCTCTTTTTTCTTTTCTCTCTCTTTTTCTTTTCTCTCTCTTTTCTTTTCTCTCTCTTTTCTTTCTCTCTCTTTTTTTTTCTCTCTCTTTTCTTTTCTCTCTTTTTTTTTCTCTCTCTTTCTTTCTCTCTCTCTTTTCTTTTCTCTCTCTTTTCTTTTCCCTCTCTTTTCTTTTTTCTCTCTTTTCTTTTCTCTCTCTTTTCTTTTTCCTCTCTTTTCTTTTCTCTCTCTTTTCTTTTCCCTCTCTTTTCTTTTTTCTCTCTTTTCCTTTTCTCTCTTTTCTTTTCCCTCTTTTTTTTTTCTCTTTCTTTTTCCTCTCTTTTCTTTTTTCTCTCTTTTCTTTTCTCTCTCTTTTTCTTTTCTCTCTCTTTTTTTTTTCTCTCTCTTTTTTTTCTCTCTCTTTTTTTTCTCTCTCTTTTTTTTTTCTCTCTCTTTTTTTTTCTCTCTCTTTTCTTTCTCTTTTTTTTTTTTTCTCTCTCTTTTCTTTTCTCTCTTTTTCTTTTCTCTCTCTTTTTTCTTTTCTCTCTCTTTTTCTTTTCTCTCTCTTTTCTTTTCTCTCTCTTTTCTTTTCTCTTTTTCTTTTCTCTTTTTTCTTTTCTCTCTCTTTTTTTTTCTCTCTCTTTTCTTTTTCTCTCTCTTTTTTTTCTCTCTTTTTTCTTTCTCTCTTTTCTCTCTTTTTTCTCTTTCTCTTTTCTCTCTCTTTTCTCTCTTTTCTCTCTCTTTTTCTCTTTCTCTCTCTTTTTTTCTCTCTTTTTCTCTCTTTTTCTTTTTTTCTCTCTTTTTCTTTTCTCTCTCTTTTTCTTTTCTCTCTCTTTTTCTTTTCTCTCTCTTTTTCTTTTCTCTCTTTTCTCTCTTTTTTCTCTCTTTTCTCTCTTTTCTCTCTCTTTTCTCTCTTTTCTCTCTCTTTTTTTCTCTCTTTTTCTCTCTCTTTTTTTTCTCTCTTTTCTCTCTCTTTTTTTTCTCTCTTTTCTCTCTCTTTTTTTTCTCTTTTCTCTCTCTTTTTTTCTCTTTTCTCTCTCTTTTTTTCTCTCTTTTTCTCTCTCTTTTTTTTTCTCTTTTTCTCTCTCTTTTTTTTTCTCTCTTTTCTCTCTCTCTTTTTTCTCTCTCTTTTCTCTCTCTCTTTTTTTCTCTCTTTTCTCTCTTTTCTCTCTAAGTGATGTCAAGAAAGTGACTGGAATAGTGTCTGGTGATGACCCTAAAGTTAAGTGTTGCTTGTGGAGGTACAAGTAGAAGAGGAATGCCTTAGTAGCAGGTATTGAGAAGATCAGAATTTGATTTGACAATTGTAAAGTTATCAAGCCATGATGTTTGGCCGAAGCCTTAAGAGATTCTATAAACCAAATACAGATGGTGTTCTAGAGTTTCAGCCTTTCCCTTGTTGGCTATTGACTTAATGAAACCAAAGTCTATTTTGATTCTTCTTTTTTATCAGATGTTACAATCATTGCTTACAAGAGGGCCCCTCTATATAAGACCTAACAGAGAGACAAGAGGTTTATGGCTGGTGGGGCATTAGTAAGTGTGTGTGTGGGGGGGGGGAGGCGGTGCGTAGTGAAACCAAATTACTCATTCCTTCTATTTCTTTTGTGTAAAACATATGTATATTTGTTAGTGTTCCTATCTACATTTAATCTGGGTATGCCTTTTTTTCTTCTTTTTTTTTTTTTTTAAGATTTCATTCAGGTTTGTGTCTATGTAAGATAGACTAATGTTAATATAGCTCAATGATGCTTGTGTTCAGTTTGCACTAATTCACTTTAGAAAGGCATGAGTGCTCATTCCCTGTACCCAGTGCCAGTGGATATTATGAGAAAAAACATTACCATTCACATTCTATGATGGTTGACAGGAGGGGAGTGAGTATTTGGGTAAACCACAATCCCATAACTATCTTGTGGGTTTAAGTAATAACAACAACAAACGGTTCTTACACCTATTGCCAACCTTGAAATGCGTGTGTGTATTTTACCTATATTCTGTGTGTGTATATATTTTCCTATACAGTATGTTTTTCCTAGACTCTATGTATGTATGTATGTATGTATATGAGTATTTTTTTCCTATACTGTGTGTGTATTTTCCAGTAAAGTGTGTATGTACTTCTTATAGTCTGTGTTTGTATGTTATACTGTATGTGTCTGTGTATATTATAGTGTGTGTGTGTGTGTTTTTTTTTTTTGTTATACTCTGTGTTTTTCTTGGTGCTAGGACAACTGCCAGATGTTTTTATATACACACACAATTGTATTGATGTGAGTTTGTGACCCTGGGTTGTGTGTGTGTGTGTATATATATATATATATATATATATATATATATATATATATATATATATATATATATGTGTGTGTGGAATATTTAGATATTTTTGCTGTTTTTTTCTAATGGGATATTTAGATAATAGATAACCGTTACACCCCCCTTCTTATGGAGATGAAGACCCTGCTGAGAGAAGCTGAAGCTTACTAATTTTAAGAACAAAAAATTATATTGTTATTCTGCAAGAGTTGGTTTGTTTAATATAAAATCATTCAAATTTATTAGTTTAATTATTGCTTTCTTAATCAATATTTAAGATTATCATTGCTATTTGTATTTATATTATTGTTAACATTATTATTATTTTAACAAAAAAAACAGCGAAATCATTAAAAAAATATATCAAAGATTTAAAGCTATTGAAACTCTGCTAAACAATTGTCTATGAAGAATCAAAATTTCTCTCTTCAAAAAATTGGTTGTATTTTTCAATGTGCAACACTAGGAAAACTGCTATTGCACTGAAATTATACTGTGATATTTTCCCTTTTGAATGACTGTAAAAATATCTAAATATTCTACATATATATAAACATCAGGCATTTATCCATTAGGCAGTTGTCCGATACCGTGTTCCTTATACTCTGTGTGTGTATGTATGTTTCTTATACTCTGTGTATGCATGTTTTTCCTATATTATGTGTGTCTTTCCAATAATGTGTGTGTCCTACACTCTCTACACTTTCTCAATTTATCATTTTATTTTGTCTGTTATTGCATTCCTTATATTGTGTATGTGTGTGCGCATTTTTGTATATTTTTGTTCATGTATATGCCTTCATCGCATTCTACAATGGCCACACATGCACGTAAGATTTGTTAATATTTTATAACATTTGAATTTTTCTGCTACTAAAATGCATTTGTATTGTCTATGTATATTTTCTGTTATTTATGAAATGCATTTGTACAAAAGCAAGGCATTTTTTATAAATTCTTGACAATGTTTAAACCCCAGCAAAATTGCCAGCAAGAAGGTTGGTCCATTAAACTGGGGCGATAAGGCCACATTAGTTGAATATAAACAGTGCCCTAGTGGCTAATCAGATTGGCAGTACAAACTGGTTTGGCAGAGAGAGCGGCAAAGGGCTGCCAGGAGGTGTGGGTAGGCAGTAAAAAAAGGAAAATAAGATTGTCAGGATGTAAATAACAAAGATGAACAGTTTTTCAAATGACTAGGAGACTGATGGCTTTTATCTGACTGCATGTAGAATTTTCAGCTTTTGCCAATGCAAGTATCTAACTCAGATTTTTGAAAATTCAGAGAGTGTATGTTTATGTATGTTATATGACATATCACTTTAGAACTTGGGTGGTGATGGCTCTCCATAACTTTCTAACCTTTTGTAGTTTTTAGTAAGGTTTGTCTTTTCATTATCCATGTTCTGTCATCCATTTTACCAGCTTGTTAGGTAGATTATTCACTGCTTTATTCTGCCCCTCTTGCCTTCAATATGTCCTCTGAGTGTCTGATTCTTCCAACCATTTTTCTCATAAGTTCTATAAATTTCACCTGTCTCTTTCTGATTCTTTTCATTTCCATTCTGCCCATATATATATATATATATATATATATATATATATATATATATATATATATATATATATATATATATATATATGGGCATCATCCTTTTATACATTTTTTATTGTTGAATATGATAGACAATACAAGGAATATCTTTGTAACTTGCAAGTTTTTTTTTTTTTTTTTTTTTTTGTCTGCTTTGTTAGGGTCCATACAGTTTTTCTTTTTTGAAGGCTAAGTATGTGAAAGAACTGTCCATAGCTTTTATTGTCCTAAGCTATTATGGCTAATTCTTTAACCATTTTTAAGAGGACTAAAACACCATGGACAATTCCTCTACACACTTAGCCTTCACAAAAAGAAAAACCTGTAAAAACACAAGGAAAACTATCATATGTTATGATGTTGATTTGGGGTTAGTAGAGACAAATGCCAAATAACACGTAACAATAAAAAGGGTTTTAATAGGTTGGTAAAAAAGGTACAGAAATCGCCAGAGTAGTCTATAACTAGCTCAGCTAAGAACTTCTCTGTCTATCTGTCTTTCGACATGCCACTATTTAAAGTCTTTGTTTGCAGACAAGTTCATCTTCAAGAGGGGTGGTAGGTTTCCGACACAACAATATATATATATATATGAGATATGAAATCGTGACTATAGACAAAATGTACCCTTACCAATTAGGCTATGGGCGACTGTCATAGTAAGATAATCCTCAATATCTACTTAAGAACGTTATACATCTCTTTTGAATTGATATCTTTTTTAATCTGATATTATTTGTTATTACTATAATCAATACTTTTAGTGAATACAGGTGTACAAGTCCTATTAAAGAAACATGTTCTTCCTGTTAGGTATTAAACCTATATTTCCTTTCTCTATCAGAGAAACCACTCATATAGCCAAAGTGTACCCTTACCAATTGAAAAAATAAATTAAGGGAAATAACTTAAGCACTTGTATTTGATACACCAAAAAATGGATATTTTTATTTGAATTATGAGCCTGGAAAAAAAAAAAAATTATCAAAGGTGTGATGAAAATTTTTCCTTCCTTACCACTTTCCAATATCTTATCAGGTTATAAATGAAAATATTAATGAATAATTATAAAATAAATTTATGATATTAACATTTTAAATTAATCTTTTTTTTCAATTTTTTGTGTTCATGCAGAAAATTGACTCTAAATTTCTCAAGTTGACTTCTAACCCTCTACATAGTTGTTTCCCTGAAAGAGCCATGAACGATCCATTCAACATACAACATTTGGCAATGAGATATTGACTTTGCTGTGTTTGGCATTTAAAAAAAATAAATACATTAAATCTTGTCAGTTTTTCATGGGATTCTGCATTGTTTTGTATTTTCTGTCTTGTCTTTATAACTGAACCTTTATTCTTTTCTTTCTTTATGTGCCATGTCCTCTAAGGATATAGGTAATCATGGCTCTCCACAATTTTCTGTTCCTTTTGACTCTTAATAAATTTTGTATTTTCATTATTTCTCCTAAGCCCTATTCCGCATCCATTTACACATCATTTGCTCACTAAATATTTTATGTATTGTTTTCCTCTGTCCCTCTTGCCTTCAGTCTGTCCTGTAGGTATCAGATTTTTCAAACCCTTTTTCCTCATTATGTGTCCTAGAAATTTCAACTGTCTCTACCTGATGTTAAGTATAAGTTTCCTTTTTGTTTGCATTTTCTATAAAACTTTGTCATTGCTCAAAAAATCAGTCCATAGTATCCTCAGCATCTTTCTGTAGAACCATGTTTCTGTTGCTCCAAGCCTCTTCTTCATCTTTGAATAGATTGGCCAGCACTCACTGCCTTACAGGAGGACAAATATGATGTAATATTTTTGTACTCTTTTTTTTTTTTTTTTTGTTTCTAATGAAATTTTTTCTATTTCTTAATACTCTGCTTAGCTTTTGAAATGCATCTTTGGCTATCCCAGTGTGATGTTAGATTTCAGTGTTGCACTTTACATTTTCTGTTAAAACACTACCTAGTTTATAAATAATTAATCACCTTCATTTTCAAAGTCTAAAGTACCACGGGAAAGCAAATTCCATGTTTTAAAAAAAAAAGAAAAATCTGTGTTCTCACCTGTTTGTATGGTATCATTCTTTAGAATAAATTACTACTACTTTTTAAATGTGTATCAACTTATCTATTCAAGATAGAACATTTAGCAATAAGATATTACAATTCTTAAGTGTATATCAGGTGACATTGAACCCAAGTACAAATTTGGGGTTGTCACCAGTAGAATTAATGTTCACAAGGAAAATAAAATAGATATTCGACAAACTGTTACCAAAGGAAAATAAAAAAGAAATAAGAAAAAAAAAACACAATTACTAATTGTATACACCAGGAGAAAAGATTGTTTTCAAAGAATTTAGGTATGGTAAAGAGGTCTGGAATGCTGGTGTCATAGATAAATGCATCCAGAAATTAATGTACATGATTAAAGGCCTGAAAGACGGTTAAGAGACATCATAACCAGATAAAAAGAAAAGGTACTTGGACTATATGAATAACCAAAAGGAAGAGCTGATGAAGGTTATTTATGACCTATTCAAGGTACCAATGCCTTTAGTAGGAGGTACAGTGGAGTAAATGATAGTGGCTTAGCTTGAGGAATTGGAGAGCTGAGTTTGAATTCCAGTCAAATCCATTATATTCACTTACGTGCTAATACCCTCGGGAAAGGTATGAATCCTCTTCTTCTCCCCCCAGCTATAGCAGGACAGACTGGGTTCTATGGCCTTGGATGGCAACTAGTCTACTGCAGAAAGAAATAGCAACCTACTGCGGGAAAAAAAATCTGCCTTGTCAGTCATGTATTGAAAGATCACCTAAGCGTGTATCACACATGACTGAGTTCTTTTAGTAGCCCCAGACTAGAAGACAAAAATACGACTTCCAGAGGAAGTAGTAAATTTAAAAAAAGGGGGGATGTTGTGAAGTACTGGAGCACCCCCCCCCCAAGATGGACTGATCTAAAAAGATAAATAGCACGCTCTTTCACTGATATTGTGGAAGTTGAACAGAACTGAGGTGAAGTTCATGATTAACTGTTATTCCAGTAGACTGTGTTCTCGACTGTTCAGAATAAATTAGTGCTCTCTCTCTCTTTATATATATATATATATATATATATATATATATATAAGCTTATCCATTCACAATACAACAATTTTAATTTTTTTTTTTTTTTTTTTTTTTTTTTTTGTAGGCACAGTGGGCACTCATCGATTTTGCAGTTCTCGAGACATGGGCCACCAGTGTCAAGATATCTGGTATCCTGATCATGACCGCATGTACCGTTCCTGTATCTTCACTTGTTCTGGAGATGGATGCAATGCTGCTGACTCCCTGATAGCCTCTTGGAACCACCGCCTCCCTTCTCTTCTTGCACTTCTCATTGGATATTTCTTTTTCTTGTAGTCCATACCAGCCACTGTCAAAGCAAAACAAAAGTTTTATTGAATGTCAGAAAATGACTGTTCAGTCACCATTAATTCCTTGTTTGTAAAAAGACATTATTCATTAATAATATATAATCTTCCTTTTGGAATTTTTTTTTTTTTTTATTTCTTGAAAGGACCTAAGTGGAAAGGCAGGTGAAGGAGAAGCATGAAAATCTCTGAGAAATTATATCCACAGATATGCACAAAGGTGTTACCCTATAGTTTGGGTAATTTGAAGAATATACATGAATCAAATGTAATTTAGATTTTTACTATTGGCCCTTGTGAACAGCAATCTTTGGATTGCTGTATACGTTCTCAGAAAGTCCGCTTGGAAGGAGACTATGGAAATTAGGTGTTAGGATAAGTAGTTTCATATTTCTAGAGTTCAATTTGTATTGTTTTGGTTTGTACTTCATAGTTACATTAGATTCTGTTAAATTAGCCATTGATTATAAGGGATAGCTACTTAATAGGACAGATTATTCTAAAATCACCATTTCAAAGCAGATTACCCTTTGTATGTAAATATCTCCAAAAAGGGTGACCATTTATTGGGATCAAAATTTGTGGTCCCTTTGTGCTGCAATTTAGTAAAAATTATTATATACTGTATCTTGACACTCTCCCACCTCAATTTTGAAGGAAGAAAAAAGTTTGTTTTTTTTTGTACTTCATAACTCTCCATACTATCCCCAATTTTAGCCACTGAATAGCATATTTTAGCATGAAAACCTGTCTAATCATGAAAAATTTGTCACAGACTGAGAAGTACCAGGTTTCTGGTAATTTTTTGGAATATAATAAGTAGAAGAGAAGTTAACTCCCTTCACAGATTTATAGGACACAGGATGGTTTTTAAGGATATTTTATAGGAAAAAATGTCTTATAAACAGCAAAATACGATAATGTATATATACATGTTAAAAGATGCAAATCTGTTTTCACAATAAAATTGAATTCACCAATCAATGTTAGTACAATTTTGAAGGTATACTTTTGATAAATATGAAATTGCCCTCTCTCCTTAATAGTATATTTTTCACATATTTTCTAGCACTTAGTGGCTTTATTTATTGCCTTACTTCAGGTGAAATGATTAAAAAAAAAAAAAAACAATCTTAAGGCCAGTTTTCTTTTTCTTATGTTGCTAAAGTTTTCAATTTTTTTTTTTCTATTATTCTCCCATCTCTGTTAAATTTTTTCACAATTTCTAATGTTGTTTTCCCATCACTCAAAAGCTTGACAAATTCTTGTTTCTATTTTGCATTTTTAGCTTGGTTATGGCCCATAGCAAGGATTATGGAACTGAAATTAAGTTTTGTTTAATTTTTCGTACCAACTGCTATAGTATTGATTTTAATTATGGTCATATTTATTGTCATAATAAAATCTGTGCTTCTAACAAGATCTTGAAGTTAAAAAAATATATGTAAAATAGTATACTTATATACACACACTATATAAGGAATAACTATTGAGTTGTATAATAAAATTTTACACCAATAAATAAGTTATTGTAAATATTTCTAATAAAAATGGAAATTATAAGCTATAGTATATCTTGAAATTTACCAGCATCAGTTGGTTAATACCAATTTAATTTGAAAATATTGAGTTATATAATACAATATGACATTGTGTGTGTATATAAATATATAGGGGAGATGCAAAAGAATGTATACAGTAATGAAAAACAAAACACATTGCTTATACAAACATATACAATACTTGTATAATACTATATACTTATTTTTGCAGACATATATGCACAAAGTCTGAGCCCAAAATATTGAGACTGTTCCTATAAAAAAAAAACAAAACAACATATCAATTTGGCATTTAATCTCCTTCAAAGTAGTTGCATTTTCTTGAACTTCCTCGATGTCTTGAAATCTCATTTCTTTCAAGTGACCACACCCTACACACTTTCCTTCAAAACACAGCTATGAACAATGGAAGCGTGCATGTGTGACAGGCTTCAATGTCAAAGTGTGCCAAGTGGCTTCACTCTGCACACTTCAGTTCTGTTACCATAGCAACAGTCCTGATACTTTTTGATCAGACCTTTTGCGTGCGTGTGTGTGTGTGTGTGTATGTATATATATATATATATATATATATATATATATATATATATATATATGCAGCAAGACCTAGAATTCCTTCCCTGCCCAATAAAAAAAAATCTGATATTTAGTCATTTGTTCAGATATTGAAAAGTGGATTTGACTGAGAACTTTTCAATGTCCTCTTTAGTGCCTGTGTCAGTTATATACACACACACGCACACATTTTGTTCCTAACAGTTTGGTATAACTTTGAGAATTGCCACATGCATGAAACACACACACACACACAAACACAAATCATAGAAAAATAACTTTTCATTAATTATTATGGTTCATTTTTTGTTTTATTTGTCAGTCAAATTGAAATTTGATTTCTTTGCTTCTAACAAAACCAGGAAATACAAGTATTTTGTAAAATTAGGATCAAATGAAATGTGGGAACCTTTAAAAGATTCTTTTTGTTTGCTTTGAGAAATGCAGTTAATTTTAGTCATCTCTCTCTCTCTTTATATATATATATATATATATATATATACATATACATACACACATGCACATTTTTAGATGTGTATACACAATATTAAAATGTATGTACATGTATGATGGAGATTCTGAAAAGTTCTTAACCCAGCTGAGATATATATGTATAATGCTAACTTGTATTCATATTCTTACATGCACACTTGTACATACTTATAAACCACACATACTTGCATTTATATTTTTTTATAGAGAATATTGATTATAAAATGTTCATTACAAAACTCTTGATTTGTGTATAGTTATAATTTTGTATTCATCATAGTAGAGGAAATCTCTTATGGAAAAAAAAAAGTCAGCCAACTTACTTTGTTTAAATAAATGTTTTATTTTGTATATGACTGTTTTTTTATTCAATCAAGAAATTGTTTTTAAGAAACTTTAGGGTTTTGTTTTTTTTTTTTTTTTTAAAAAAAATTGCTCTCAAAAATCTAAAATGTTGAACACACTGATTGAAAAATTTGTGAACTCTTATGATGACTATGTAATTTCTGTTTTAGGCCATTCAAAAAAAAGGTTTTATACTTTATTTTTTTAATCTTTTTTTTTTTTTTTTTTTTACTTGTCATGGTTTAATTTTTTAAAATTTCTTGCCATGCATTAGAAAAAAAAACGTGTATAATGAAGGCATTGAATGGTGCTCAATGAATGTCATCTGTTTTTATAAAAATTTTAATAAAATACATAATAACAAAGCAAATATTTCAAGTGTCATTTGTGGGGAAGCAGAAGATATCTTTACGATAGCAGTATGCGTTGTTTACTTTAAAGCCTGAAAATATTAAAAAATTTGAAGCATTTTCAACCAACTGAATAGCGACCATTTTGAAGATTTATTTGTGGAAGTGCAAATCAAGCTTTCAGAATTTTGAGTTTTAAGTGTCAAAGTTTGGTCTCTTGTAATTTAATGGCGAGGAAGCTGAGAGGCATTTTCATTGAAATTATTGAAAAAGTAAGAAAATATGTTCTTAGAAAAGAAAACTATATGATTCAGAGTAAGTGATTTATAGAACATAGATGTGTCTTCAAACTTGAAAATTGTTAGAAAAAAATATCAATTATATTTTCTTAAATGTTGTGATTTATTTTTAAGAATCATTTCCAGCTTTAAATTTCACAAAAGATGAAAATATAGATGATTTTAAAGAACAGAAAATTTCAGAATTTTATATTAAATATTCAAAATGGCTGCCAGTGGATTACATTAAAGCAAGTTTCAGAAATGTTTCCTATTTTTTGAGGTATAAATCTAGACAAATTTTCATACTGTTTTCTTGTTAATGCACAGAGGACAAAATTGCAACTCTTTATGATTCTTCCCCATCCTATATTAATGTCTAAAACAATTTTTTTTTCATTTTTTAATGTGTACAAATATTACATAGTTTTTACATGCATGATAAAATAAGAAGCTTTTGTTCTTATCATCACTAAAGGAAAATACAGTTGTAATGTATACTGTAGTGTCTAGAGGTTGTAAACTTAGAAATCTCTCCAGATTAGAATATTCTAATCTGGGATGAAAATGTAACTAATTAAAAGAGTTATTTCAATGTGAAATACATTTGAAATATTTATAAAACCATCTTGTTTACTAATTTGATAAAACTGCAGACTATCAGAATTTATTTTTATTTTTTGTATTATGAGTGAATTTATTTAAGAGTCTTATGTCTTTGTATTTCAGTTAGTCATGACTGTACACTCTAGTGTATATTAAAGACATGGCATTCTTTAACTAGATTCACTTGTTCTTGTGAAATTCCAATATTTCAACAAGAAAGGAAATATATTCCTTCCTAGCTTTTATTTTGTATCTGAGAATGTCTGCTATCAAATCCAGAGAAATTGTTCATTATAAAACTTAAGAGGATTTAGAAATACTGTTTTATGTGACAGCCATTTTGAAAATTTAATAGTTCAAATTAACCTAATTTACTTAATTTTGTGATTGTTCCTGAAAGGTCTGATTGTAAACATTGAGAAAATATTTTCATACATTAAGAATCTTACCAATTTTAAGAAACAAAAATGGCCAAATTTGGTCCCCCAGAAACCCCGTGTTTAGGAGATATTATTCTTTATTTTAGTTGTTGTTGTTGTTTGTTTTTGTTTTTGTTTTTTTTTTTTTTTACCGTGGTTTCTCCCCTGTACAAGGCCCTGGGGGACACTTGAGGTAGAGAATTACAAAATAAGAAGTACAGTTTATGTGGACATGTGTGGAAGATAACGGTTAACCCTAAACTTGAACTGGTTAAGATTGTAGTGATCAGGGAAGCAGCCATTTGAGAGTCACTTCCACAAGTCAGCAGTTCATGGGAAGAAGCTGTTTGAGTGAAACTTACACCTCACTAGGGGAATATGA